ATCATTTATATGTTTATATATGTGTACATGTGCGTGTGTGTGTGTGTGTGTGTGTGTGTATGCATGCATTATATATATAATTATACATATATATATATATATATATATATATATATATATATATATATATATATATATATATGTATATATATATATATATATATATATATATATATATATATATATATATATATATATTATATATATATATATATGAATGTACACACAAATATGGACACATACGAAAAAAAAAAAAAAAAAAAAAAATATATATATATATATATATATATATTATATATATATATATATATATATATATATATATATATATATATATATATATATATTATATATAATACATATATATACACACACGCATATATATGTACATCTATATATGTATATATATATATATATATATATATATATATATATATATATATATATATATATATATATATATATGTATGTATATGTACGTATATGTATTTTTGTTTTGTGTGTGTGTGAGTGTGTGCCTGTGAATGTATATACGCACACAAACACACACACATATGTATACACACAGACATATACATATATATATATGTGTGTGTGTGTGTGTGTGGATATATATATATATATATATATATATATATATATATATATATATATATATGTATGTATATTATATATATGTATATATATATATATTTATATATATATATATATATATATATATATATATATATATATATATATATATATATATATTATATATATATATATATATATATATATATATATATATATATACACACACACAGACGCACACATATATACATATGAAAAAAAAATAAACATACGGCTAAGCAATGGGATTTATGACATATTCTTCATATATCATCTCTACATGCACTGTGTGTATGAATGGCACATCCCAACTGGATTGTTTTGTTATAACTTTATCAATAGTGGTTTTGCTCACCAGTCTAGCTAATGAGTTTCAAAGACTTAAAAGGCGGTGGAAACAATATATTACTTTCTCACAATTTGAATCTTTATTTCATATGATTTATTATGATGATTTTTAGACAGCGTTAGCCAGGACCCAGTCAACGAAGTAGGCAACCTCGGTGTAGACGCCAGGGTAGTTGGGACGGGCACAGCCGTAGCCCCAGGACACGATGCCGGCCAGGTAGGCGGAGCCGGTGTCAGAGCAGGCAAGGGGGCCGCCAGAGTCACCCTGGCACGAGTCCTTGCCGCCCTCGGGCACTCCGGCACAGATCATGGAGTCGTCAATGTCGTTCTGGCCATAAGCATCGCGACACTCTGCGTCAGACACGATGGGAACGGACACCTTCTGCAGGACACTGGGGGAGCTTCCTCCTTCACTGAGAGCGCCCCAGCCGGACACGATGCAGTCGCCAGAGGCAGCGTGACCTGCCTCGGGAAGGGCAATGGGGGCCACGAACTCGTTGAAGCTCAGAGGCTGAGACAGCTGGAGCAGGGAGATGTCGTTGCTGATGGTGAAGCCGTTGTAGTCCTCGTGTTGGATGATCTTGGAGAGGACGACCGTCTGCTCGTTGCCCTCATCCACGTCCCTGTTGTGCTCTCCAGCAACGACCTGCGGTCAACACCAATCAGTTGATGGCAATGGAATTGGCAAACGAGAAGTTGACAAGTCAATGTCTTTTCTCAGCTGAAAAAGGCTTTTGGTATCGATGCGAGACTCACCTGAAGGTAGTCGGGGTTGTTCATGTCCTCGCCCTGGACGCAGTGGCCGGCGCAGATGGCCCAGTTCTCGTTGTAGATGGAGGCGCCGCAGAAGTGGAAGGCGAAGCCGAAGGAGACGTCCTGGAAGCTGAGCTGATAAGGCAGCTCTCCGGGAGTGACGTCAGATCCTCCGACGATCTTGTTGAGACCGCGGCGGAAGGTGGGCTTCCTGGAGGGGGCGGCTGTGAAAGACGGGCGCTTGAGAACGGTGTCGTTTCATTGCTGCTTTAACTTGATTTAATGTTCGCGCTTAGTGCATTACATCTGTTGGCTTACTGGGACTGGAGACCAATCCTAGTGCAAGGGAAAGGAAATGATGTGGACCCACACACTGAAAAGGGACCCTCACAGAGACAGAGACCCTCAGAGTAGGTCCGGGTACCATATAGAAGGACAAGGGCCCAAGCAGATTAAGAGGGACATGTAGTATAGTATGGTCACACGACGAGGGGCAGAGACCGCCATACTGATGAGATACAAAGGGACAGGGATCCTCAAAGAAAATAGGGACCCTAGAGAGGGACAGAAGGACCCTCTCAGAGGGCCTGACTCACCGAAGGCCCCGGCGAGGAGCAGGCAGAGCACGAGGGACTTCATGGCTGGGCACTGGTGGCGAGGCAGTGCCCCGGGTGCCTTTTATGCGCGGGACGAACCGACGCGGGTCCGGTTATCGGCGCCTCCCGCTTGTTCCGTGCAGCGTTTTTCTCACGGTTCGGCCGTTTCCTCGCGAGTGGAGACTTGGGGAATCCCGAAATAATTTTTTTACAGTGTTATACCAGAGACTTTGACAAGCTGTGAAGGGGGAAATAACATTGCAAGAGTTTTATCTACCAGTCTGCCTACCAATGTGTTCACCTCCCTTTGCATCCAACAGTATGCCTCTCTGTGGAATGCAAATGGACAAATGTCTGCCTGTTTATGAGCCAGTATGAGTTGTTTTATATTTCTGTTTATCCATTTTTACTTTTATCAACCCCTACCATATACCTCTTATTGATTCATATCTTTTCTCGTATTATTATTTGTTTTTCTTCCTATCCTTTAATCATTTTTATCTCCACAAAGTAGCTTGAAATATGCATAAATGTATTTAGTTTATGTATATACGGATGGGACTACATATACATAGATACATATACAGTCACACACAA